AGGTTTCATAAGTACTGTCCTGGGGCTACACACCTGAGAAACAAAATTGCCTAGAGCATTTTATATAGGCAAAAGGGGCGGGGTTAAGCATTTTATGTAAATGAGGCTTTCAGTCAGTGCAGTTCTGATTAGTGAAAAGTTTGTGTCCAGCACTGATTGGTCAAATTTCAATCTTAGGTGTGGCTGGCTAGTGTAGTGTCCTTTTTATCTGGGCTATGGACCTGGGTGCACCTGCTCCAACATGCCTGTGCACTTGCACCTGCCTGGACCAACGCTCACCCTTGGCCATCTCCTAGATCTGTCTTGTACCCAGACCTGGGATGGCTCTATGTTCATTCTTTTCATTTTATGTGTTACCACCAAAGGTTTTTATGAGAAGAAAGAGAAATAGTCACTTGGAAGAGCCAGAAGGAGCTGAGGAACATGCTGGACACTGAAGTAGTAAACTGCAATTGAAGCAGTCTTCAAAAATGAGGGAGGAGGGAAGCAGGAGTCACTTCAGCTCATTCAACCACAAATTCCCAGGCTCTGATCCCAGGACTAAGAAGCAAGAAGCAGGAAGTGGCTTCCAGTGTCCCTGTCCCCCTTCATTATCACGATTGCATCTCAAAACCATGAAGCTGGATAATGGGCATGAATTTCTCGACAGCTTTGCTTGCCAGCGAGTCACATTACAAAGCTGCAGGAAGATGCCCTCCACAGCAATTTTTGCCTTCCCAAATCTCCACGAGTGCATTGAATAACTGGGACTTGACTTGCATCCAGATCCTAAGCACAAGCCTCTAGAAAAGGAAGTTCTCAGCCTTTGTGTTCAAAAGCACAGGCTAATAGACTAGGCGATGGCTGAAATGGATGTTAAGGGTCAGTTGGCCATATACCGAGCAGTGCTTATTAGGTTTTGTTAGAAAGAAATGAAAATAACATTTATTAAATGACAATTATGTTGGAGGCATAAAGTAAACCACTTTGCCACCACAAACCCATTCAACCTTCAAAATCCTGTTCTTATGTATTTATTGTCAAGTATCTTTATTTTGTGGAAGAGTAAACAGTCTCAAGGAAGTCAAGTTACTTCTTTATGTCTACCCCATCACTAAATGCCATTTCCATGTTTGCATTTGTCCCTTCTGTTTTCAAGTTCAGGAATATTTGTCTTCTGCCACGTCGTAAAGTTTGACTGTTAGAAAGTTCTTCATTATTACAGAGGCTAGATCTCATTTGTCTACACATTACTGCATGGGATCAGCATCCCTTCAATGCTGAGTGTGGATGTGTGCTTTATCAATTTTATTGTTTCATTTTAATTGGTATTTTTGGATGTTCTTCCAGCCTACTTTGAGCTAGGATCACAATTAATGCTATAAATAAATGAACCCCCACCAAAGTTTTTAGCCAAAGCCCGAGTTTATGAGCCAACATTTTATTATGAAGTGTGGTTGCTCTTAAGTTGCCCAAGCCAGGAAGGCAAATGTATGAGGGAATTTGGGGAGACAATGTGTATAAAACAAACCATTGATTTCTTCCATAAGGACTTCAGAGAAGATGTATTGTATCTATTAGGGGTTATAGCCCATCACACTGTAAGCTTCTTCAGGAGGAAAAAAAAGCCCACAGTGATTTGTTCCCTGGAGAGTCATACACCACCATGACGGGTGGAGTAACCACGTGATTGCGAGCTTTTTCTCCCTGCAATTACAGCACGACAAATGCTCCGAAGTATAACACAGACAAATGGCCGCTACAAACTATTTCAATAGTCCACGTTTCACAGTGAATATTTAAAGCTTTGGGTCTTTTCTAGGCAAATGCTTTTGAACTTGAGGCCCCAGCATAAAACTATTAACAGTCCACCCAGATAAATAAGATCCTGATGTGATGGTAATGTCATCACCATGATAAATTTATCTTTCAATTTTCCTAGACCATTTCAGGCAATGAGCCTAGAGAGCAATCACATTATTGCTTATTGCAAAAGGCTAGAATAAGTTCTTTCCATGCTTATCACCAACAAAAGGGTATTGTTCCATTCTTTTGCACTAGAAAATGCTACTCTCTTAACTTGGGGAAAAGGAAACAGAGCTGAAAAAAGCTGTTGAGTTTGTAGAGGAAAGTTCCCCAAACCAATGTGTTCTTTATGCTTATAATCCATTTAATCTTCTTATATGGACTATTAAAAGGTACAGAATAGATTTCAGTGAAATCAAAAATAAAAGTAACTAAAATTTATGCTAGATTATACAGAGATAACCATGCTTGCATAGAGAAGCCAAAGTTCGATGAAATTCATGCTTAGCTGCAAAGAGAGATGTGGATGTCCAGAGTTAGATCTACTTGGGTTCAAATTTTAGTGAGAACCCCCATGATCCCAAAATTCTTGACACTTTCCTTGGGTTAGGGGAAAAATAAATGTTTGGGGTGTGAGTTTGTGTGTGTAAAATGGAAGAACAGTGTCCATGGAATGATGCTTCAGTGGAAGGTGGGTGTGATAACTAGCACCTCTGGAGAAGGCAGCTCAAAGACCCTAAACATGTGCCAATATGCCTCTGTGAAAGAATGAATCTGGATAACAGTGAAGTCAAGTAAGGCACTTTCATCTCTTGTGGACCAGGTGATTCCCACATCCCACCCCTGGGATCCACCACGGAGAGGAATACTAAGCACAGGCCAGCTTCCCCCCAGCTCCTTGGATGCTATCTAAGCTCTCTCCATCATATTAGCCATGAGGGCCGACTCAGGATATCCAGGGTAATGCTGTGTTGGACCTCACACTGGGGGGTTTCAAATACCATTTGACACCCACTTCTGTTATGTGTGACATGACCCTGTTTGTGTGTGTGTGTATGTGTGTGTGTACCCAATTATACAGCCAGGCTGAGCAGCTGCTATTGAGGTAGGAAAGAAGATTTTGTGGAAAATGAGAGAGGTGGATCATTTGGGGATTTTTGGAAGTGAGCTGTGTAAACACATTCTAGCTATTTTCAGGCCAAAGGGAGAAGTGTTGAGAAGCTGGGATAGCATGATGAAATAAAAGAGAAATAAACAATAAAAGGGAAAAGCCCCAGATAGGTCTTGGGATCTAGCTGGAAAAATTGAATATGCAGCCTCTTCAGGGTGCCATCCTTGGGATGAAATTACCTTAGAGTCTCAGTGTTTGTAACATTCAATTTAAGGAGAAGGCATTTACCTGGTTTAGCTTGGGTCTCTGGCCAGTGATTATTCTAAGAGAAGTCAAGGCAGTTTAAATGAAAGTCTGTCCATAACACTACGGCACAGGGAACCCTCCAAGATATAGACTGTATATTAACAAGAGAAGCAGGGGGTGGGGGGGTGGGGGGAAGGATTCAGGGTAGGAACAGAATAATGACTCAAAGGGGTAGAAGAGGGCCTCCCCTGGTGGCGCAGCGGTTGAGCACTGGGCTGCGAAGCTGCCCGCAGCCTCTGCAGTGCCGGTTCGATCCCCGGCCATGGGGGAGGGTCCCACATGGCGCGCAGACCTCTCCTGCCGCCCGCTGCTCCCCTCAGCAGTGTACTTCGGTCCTTCTGCCTGTTCTGCTCCCCGCTCTGGCTCTGGCGAATTCTCTCACCCTCCCGCACTTCTGACTGTACCCAGTGCTTGTATAAAAAAATAAATCTTTAAAAAAATAATAAAAATAAAAATAAAGGGGTAGAAGATATAGTATTTAGTACAAATAAAAATGAAAAGCCATAAAAACCAGAGGATAAAAAAGGCACCAAAGTGAAGTCCAAGAAGGCAAAAAAGAGGATCTAGAAAAAGATAGAATTTTTAAAAGAGAGAAGCTGTTGAAAAGAGAAGCATATACGCTAATCCTACATAAATATTTGACATCAACATTATTCATTTCTTTTGACTGAAGAAACTGAGGCTTGAGGCGCATGAGTCACTTGCATATTGGCTCATTGAGAAGAGTTGACAAAGGAGATCCAAAATCAACAGCTTTTTCTCTTGCAAAATTTCCCTCTTGCAATCATTCTTTTATTTATCAATCCTTCAAAAGATCTTCTCCAGGCCTTAATGACCAAATAGTTACCCATTTTTTCATAAATATTGTGTGCTAACTAGAAGGCAGCTCTCCCACCCGCAACTCCTAGCTCCGGTGGAAAACCAGCTCATTTAATATCTGTGTTAGGGGGACAGCACTATGCTGGTATCTTCCAGAGGTGGGGATGTCAGAGAGAATCAATGCAGTAGAATTGTAAGACTGGATTCTCTGGGTGGCAGCCATCAGAAACTGGCCCTGGCTGACTTAGTTATATTTGCAGAGGAATGAAGAGCAGAGGTTAACTCACATGCATAGCATAGGCTAGGATGTTAACTGAGGTTTGAAACTGTACACAAAACCGGATCTGCTTGATGTGCAAGTGACAGAATGCTAGAAAAGGTCATCCCTATGTTAGATGAAATAATCTGAAATTCTAAGTTTTTAACACCTTCAAAAAAAGAAATTGTCCAAATATAATAGGGACACATGGAATAGGGTCATCAGTCAAGCCCTACAATGTGATCTCCCAGTGAGAGTCTCAAAGAAGCCCAAGCTCCACATGCTCTAATAGAGTATTGTTACTTCATCAAACTCATGCAAACTTGGTCTTCAATTAAAGAAAATGAATGTCTATCACTAGAGAAGAGGATGTCCCTATTTATTCTGAGCTGTGTTTCCCACACTTTCTGGAGTTTTGTTAGTTAGCCACAACTATGTCTCCTAGAATGTTTTAAACAATAACACCCCATCCATCACATAGCACTCCATCTCTTGAACACATGATCCCCAACCCAGTACCTGGAGTGGGATAAGCCCCCCATTGGGAAAAGCAGAACTGAATCTCTTACCACGAGTACAAAAACCCAACCCTGAAGCAATCTAATTTGTTGTATTTTTTTGGAGGCTGTTGTTGGCCTACAGACACCCAAGGTGATTGAATTCAGCTCTCACTGTGATGTCACAGTCCCAAGCCCTGCCAATAGTGAGGCAAATCTCACATATATTTAGAATGAGGAGGGAACCTGAGAAAGCACACCATCAAACCCCATCTTTTTTTTGAGGATATAGAAGATCAGGGAGGAGAAGTTGTTTCCTGACCACTGTTGAAAGAGAGGTTAGAATTTTGATGTAACTTGAAATCCAACGCTCTTTCTATTACTTGGCTCTTCCAGCAACATTCTTTCTCCTTAATGTACAGCCAGCTCCCTGGTTACTGCTTTTTCTGAATATAGCCCAACAAACACAAGTGACTGGCTCCACAAATTAGCCAAACAGAAGTGAGCACACCAGATTTCTTGGTTCTATTATAAGAATTCTTCTTGTCCTGATTAACATATAAAGGCACTTTCTCTATTTGATCAGCCTATACTAAATGCAGGTTTTCTATAAATGCCCAGGGCTCCAAATAAATTTGATTATATCCGATGGAATATAGGTAGTTCCTGTAATGAAAAGCAGGCAGGGAACTAATGGAAACTAATGGAAATCAGGAAGCCATTCTAAAAAAAAAAAAATGAGTTAGTTTATTTCCTTTGGATTTGGATTTCAGTGGAGGTAGTATATGGGAAGCCACCTTGATTTCTCTAAGACTTTTCTGCTGAAAAGCAAAAAGCTGTCCCCATCTCTCACTGTCACCCTTCCACCAATCACCTATCTGGATCTCTCAGGACTGCCCCAGGGAGATCTCCTGATCCTTTGAGTCGGATAGGACTTCATTTCAAAAGCTCCCATTTTCCCACAAAGCATCTACTGCTGTTTGATTTTTACATTTGCCTTTGTAACTGATAATAGATGCTTCCTTTGCTTCCCTGAGTTGATAGGATGGGGGAGGGAAAGGACTAATTCTCTCACTTACAACTCTTCCCCACCAACTTGCCCAGTTCCAGGCAGGACTAGGTGCCAAAACTTGTGTGGGTGGAGAGAATAAATAACTGAACAAATTAATGCGTACACTGAGATATTTTTCCTTTTAAGTGATGGAAATCCATGTCTCACAGCAAATTGACTGCTTTTATTTTTTTTAATTTTAAAAAGAAATAAATTCATTTTGTCTTTGCCACAAAAAGGTGAGTAAAATTATTATAGATAAAAAAAATAGGCCCTATTATGAAATTCTGGGAGAGCTCTACATTTTTATTTTTTATTATATTTTTTAAGATTTATTTTATTCATGCATACAAGAACCGGGGTACAGGCCAGAGGTGGGGTGTGTGTGAGAGGATTCACCAAAGACAGAGTGGGGAACAGAACAGGCAGATTGACTGAAATACACTGCTGAGGGGAGCAGCGGATGAGACAGGAGAGGTCTGCTGTGCCATGTGGGTAGCTCCCCAGCTGGCAGAGATCAAACCTGCACTGCAGAGGCTGCAGACAGCTTCATAGCACTGCGCTCAACTCTCTGTGCCACTAGGGAGGCCCATACATTTTTAAATAATATTAATAAGATTTATTCAGATAGGTTCATTTATTATTCATGTATCCAGTTAGTCATTTAACATTTATTTTGTTCTATGTAATATGGATCTGGTGTCATGCTCTATCTTGGGCCCTAAGGATATCAAAATAAAAAGACAGGCTTTCTGTTCTTGGGAGTTCACAGTTCGCTGTTGCTGTAGATGAGTAAATCAGTAATGGTGATAGACATTGATGAAGATACTAATGGTGAATCCTGTAGTTAGGGGAGAGCAAAGAGAACTGTGGATGAACAGCTCTCGATTCTGTCCAGAAGCAGAAGTGAAATATCAGATACTTTCAGGAACAGATGATAATCAGAAGGGATCTTGAATACAAAGGACACTTGTTCAGGATATCAAAGTGGGAAGGACATTCTTGGCATGATGAAAGGGTAAAGTTGGAGAATTCTGAAATCTATGAGTTTGTTGGTGTGGATGCCTTCCAAGGAAGTGTGTGATGTGGACAGACTAGAGAGTGGAAAGGTAACCAGATCCTGCAGCATCTCGGTGCCAAGATGATGCGGAGAGTTAATGTATACGTTCCGATGGGTCTGGCACTAGTCTGTGCCATTTGTGTTCCCCAGTAGTATGGAAGACCGCATCACCCTTTGCAGACATCAGTGCCTGGTGAGCAAAATACTCATAATTTTTGAACCCTCTATCACCCACAATGTGGGCATTATCTTATCTAATTCTTTTAAGGTGAGAGCTACCAGGTGACTACTGTTTACCTTACTTTCCCTAACAGAAACTTAGATTCTGATAAGTTATACAAAGTACAGTGATTTAGGGGCCAGGGAGAATTAAACCTTGGTCTACAATGATTCCATAGCTCATGCTCATCTTACTGTTCCTCAGTGGTGATGACTCAACACTATTCCAGGGATGGTTATGATTACTTGGGACTGAATCTGAGTACATATTTGCTCTGTTTAATCATGCTACAAAGACTTTTCCTTCAGTACAAAGGAAAAGTGTCAAAGGAAAACACCCAGAAATAATAGTTACATTGCTGAGAATTAAGTTAGTGAATTACTCTGATAAAAGCAACAATTAAAAAAAAATTCAGATTTTTCTTTTTTAAAACTGAGATCAAACAAGTATAAATAATTCATGGAAGATATAGTATCTTCCCGGTTGACTCGCTCTCTAAGCTGGTTCACTTTCTCAAGTTAATTAAATTTGGCTTATATAACAAAGGCCAAGAATACAACATGTAGCATTTAGAGCTAGGGAAAGACTTGATGGCTCCTAAGAAAAGGCTTGCTGACAGGGCAACCAAACCCATTGAACTTGACTGAGATTGCCTGGTTGTCACTTTTGATCTTATTTTCCTTCATGACCTCGTGTGCAAGCTCAGCAAACTGATGTAAAATGCAGTGTTCTAACATATTTATTCAATCTTCATGAGCAAGACTTACATCATAGTTGGTGAAGTTTGCTTAATTAACTATCTCAGGCTCAAAAAATATCCAAACAGTAATTCCTGCTTTGTTTTGTTATCATTTTGTTTTATTTTCTTATTTAATGCTCCTGAACTCCAAAGTCCACATAGTTTAATTGAGGTTGGAGCTAGCAAACTTGAGCAAAGATTTTCTTTTCTTTCCAATTAAAATCTCATTATGGTTGTTTTCCACTCTAGAATTGAATGTTTAATACACAAAGGCAATACTAAATATATACTTGTGTCCATTTCGGAGTTGGGGAACATCAAAACCAAATCTACTGGGTAGGTATTTGTAATTGACCTTGTGACAAGATAATGATAAAGGTAAAAAGCAGAAAAAGGGCAAGTAACTTTTCCTTAAAGGGTTATCAGACATAATTAGCCTTATGCAAGTTAACAATCATTTATTAACAACTTACTATGTGACAAACACTATACTAAGTTCTTTATATTCAAAACTGTTAGAAGATGCAGAATTCTCTTGAGTTTGGCAATAAGCCAAAGCATTATTTTCCTTCATATTAGGTGGGTTATTTTATGCAAGCTTCTTAACTTCCCCATCTATATTTCTTATCATTTAATAGGGGATTTTAATTATATGTACCTCATAGAGCTTACTTAGTGAGATAAAGCTTCTGAAGTACCACTCAACCTCTAGCACATAATTAGAGTGCAACACTTGTATCTGTTGCAATTCAGTCTCTAATACAATGGGTCATTGGTTAAGGGGTCAGAAGAAGTAAATCCTGTAACATTCTTCTGCAATCAACACTCTACGTCCTTAAACATTCAGAAAGTTGGGGTCATGACTGGGTCAGAACCCAAATTCTACTGTGACTCATAAGTGAGCCTGGGTCACTGAGACTACATTTTGCCTCTTCCAGCATACTTAAAATTTAATTAAATGTTATTTAATTAAAATTGAAAGCATTCACTGATTTGTATGTGCTAAAGAGTCTGGAGCGATTGGGGATATGGGATAATGATTTGAACTATATTCAACTTTGGGGGTTCAAACCTTTAAAAGTAAGTCTGCCAACCTCAACATCATCACTAAAACATCAGGAAAGCAGATCATAAAAGAAAGGAAGCCTAATAGATCTTTATTGATTAATCAACAGGCTGAGAATTAGAGTGGAGCAAAGGGGAGGTGCAATTCAGGGAACAGTGGAATGAACAGTCAACACTTGAACGTGCACTGACCCAGCTATTCCGATGGTGTTTGTAAGTCATTAAAAAATTGAGTGTGAGAGTTAATTTTACAGGTCGATTTGATTGGGTTGTGTCCAGATTAAATATTGTTTCTGGGTGTGTCAATGTTGTTGTTTCCAGTGATAGTAGCACTTGAATCAGTGGACTTAGTAAAGTAGATTGTCCTGGCTTCAGAGCTTCCTCAACTAGTTCTCTGAATATATTTCCATATTTACCAGCATACTTATCTATTTGGAAATATATATATAGAAATATATATATATATATATATATATATATATGCCCCAACTAATGCACACATTCTATGGAAATAGTGGAGAGTGGGAACTTGCCCCTTCATTCTGCAAGATTGTTGACTGGACAATGAGAGGCAGAAAGGCAGAGACCAGACAACAGCAATCTCTCTCTGCTTGGGTGATAATCTCTGCAGACCAGCTGACACTCTTACTACCTGTGTGGGCCCCAAAGGGTGGAAGATGGCAGAGTCACTACATCAGGGACCTAAGGAATTAAGTCAATGCTAAGGGCGGCAGACGAGGGTTGTAGACCATACCTCACAATTTGGTGCTAAAACTATTCACCTTTGTACCAATGTGGAAAATAAATTATTTAGCATAATAATGGAAGCTATGACTAGTGGGCATGTGCTATGTGGAAAAAACCCATGTCAGGTGCTGATACAAAGCACTTCTAATTCTCACAACAAACAACTCAGGTATTGCCAACCCACTTTACAGATAAGAAAACCAATATATACAGAAGAATAGATAGCTCCCTATCCATCTGGAAAGTAGGATCTAGTAGAGTCAATAACATACCAAACTCCCATGCTTACTACTATGATATAGCAACTGGCAGAATATGACAATGGGCTGCTTGGGAGAATACCAAGTATCACAGGAATATGGAGGTGCCAATTATGAGGCTATAGTTACATCATGATCCAGTTCCATGGTCCAGGACTGTGACCACTGCAGACACACAAGGGAGTGTTGCAGGGTGAGTCCATGAGACTATTTCACACTGGATAGTCTGTTCTTTGGCCTCTAACACTGGAAATGAAACAATGGTGTGAATAAATAAATGACCAATAGTGCTTGGTTGAATAGGAAGGAGGATGTGACTTATTGGAAAGATTCCCTACTAAATCAACCAAACAGACAGCAAGCTCTTCATGTTAATCATGACTAAATGGAGCTCCTGTTCATCTAAAACGGATTTAGAGATATATGAATTAGAGACAGCCTGGTTGCATTCAAGAGTAATTAATGAATGAGAAAATGGGCTATTTGTCTCAATCTGGTATAGCATCCCTGCCACTAACAAGATGGTATAGTGATTAGAACCAGTCCAGAAATATATATCCTCTGACTCCCAGTTCAGCGAAATCGAGAAGGCTTGAATTCAACTCTCTGCATTCTGTGACACTGCTATATGCATTAATAGCTGCAGTATGGTAATGACAATAGTGATAATCATTACATTAACAATAGGATAAGAAGGTGAAGGAAGAGGAGGTAGAGATGGGGCTATGAATGAAAGAAACTGCATTTATGACAATTTTTTTATGTTTAATGAACCCTTTCTCTGTGTCTTGGGCTAAAGCCTTCACATGTAAAATCCCATTTAACCCTCACAGGGAGTGGTGATAAGGAGGCATTTGAGTCCCCACCCTGTGCATGAGGAACTTGACCCTGGAGGTTATGCGATTTTTTTCAAAAGTCACCCAGCAAGTAAGTGGCAGAGCCAGGATTTGAAATTTTCAACTAGGATAAAACTGAACCTGGGTTTTATAAACTCATCAAATATTACTCAGAAAGCTTCTCCACCCTTCCATGGGGACTATCTAGTGGGGAAAGACTAAGTCCATTCCATTCTCAAATGAGTCCCTGGAAAATTTCTTAACTTCCTGGGACTGTTTGTTTTTGTTTTTTTTTAATATATAAAATGGAGACACTAATACCCTGTATGTCAAGGGCATGGGCTGTGGATCACATCAGTCATGTTACGTAAGACTACGTTATCATTGTGTAATATCAGTATTAGCAGTACAGCTCTTGTTATTCTTTTTTTTTTTTTGTAATTAAATTTTTTTTATTTTAATATTCCCCATACAATTGCACCCCCCTTATTTTTGCTCCCAATCCCTCCTTTCCCCAGCCCCCCATAGTGTGTCTCTGGTTCATAGTTGTTTTTTGATTTTGATTTTTTCTTTCTTATAGTTATTCTTTTTCCTGGTCCCTTATTTAGGTTTTCTAGATTCCTGCTATGAGTGAGACCATCCAGCTCTTGTTATTCTTATTTCTATGGGTCTTTGTCTGAATCAAGTGGGTAGCAATGTATAGACATCCCTCTCATTTTCTTCTTATGGAACCAGCGTGCTCCTGTTACCTCCACATGTCACAGGTCGCAGGGTGTGTACTTGAGCAATGTGCTGCCCCAGAGAGCTCTGCGTGAGGGTGCTGGTTTACTGATCTCTCTGAAGGGACTAAGGTGCTGAAACTCGGCTGCTAAGCACGCCTCTGGGTGGATTCTCCCCCTCTAGTCACATCTTGCTGCATCCATTCTTCTGAAAAATGATGTTTAAAGGATCCTCACCAATAATAAGTGCCCAATAAATACACCAATGCCTCCTCTCCTCTCTGCCCACCCCAAATGGGCTGCAACAGCAGCAGGACTTGGAGGGAGAGACAGATGGGCGTGAGAGATGTGAGACATAGAATTGATAAGACTCTGAGGAAGGTTTTGGCTAGTCCATGACATTGAACAACTGGAGGAGCTATAACTACAACAGTCTTGCTCACACCTTGATAGTTTACACAAGGCATAGAAGTGAGGAGGGATTCCTGAGCAAGCACTCCATGAACCCATGAATCTAAATAAAAGTAATTAACAATGGGGAGGTATGTTCAATGGATAAAGCACTGTGTTAAAATATTTAACATACAATTGCTTGTTTAATCCATTCAATAGTCATTTTTTTTCCATATTACAGGTCAAGAGATGGACAATTAGAAAGGTCAGAAAACAGTCAAAGTCAAATGTCAGAGATTTAAATCAAGGCTAAATAACTATAGTTTGGGTCTTTAACCATTGGTAAGCCACATTCTAGTCTACTTCTATAACTTTACAGAGAAATGTAAATTGTGCTATAACTCACCCAAGGAACTTTGTGGCTTCAAATAATGCCTGTGTGTAGAGATTTTCTGAAACTCAAGAAATGTATGCCTTGAGAAGGGGGAGGAAGAAAAGCACCACTTCATAGGGAAATGGATAGAAAAAACTTGTCCTTAGAATGAATGGGTGCATTGCTGAATTTCCTAAGTTATCAGAGGCTTGGCAAACAGAAAGGAAAGTCTGCAAGGAGCCTTGGAGGGGAAAGAGGCAGATCCCAGAAGTTTCAAAGATGATTCATTCAAGTACAACCCAAAAGGGATGTCAGAAAATGCCCACAGGGATTAGTTTGTGGTAACACTGATTCCAAGACCACGAGGCTGACTCTGAGGGAGACATTTTTGCAGCAATTCAAGGCTATGGATGAGTGAGAGCAGTGAAAGCTTTAAGAGCAAGGTCATATATGATGTATTCAGGAGGTATAAAAAGCCAAGAACAGCACGTTTCAATTGGTTATAATCCTACTCTATGATGCAGGAAGAGCAACTCTTTCCCATATTACTTGGAAATAAAATGGTTGCTGGAGACAATATAGGAGGTAAAGTTGTGAGATTATGTCTCATGCAAAACAAACTAAAGATGAGGACAGAGGACGTGAAAATGATGAACTACTCTGACGATTCCCTACCACATGGCTAGATGTCTCTGCCAAATATCACCTTTTAGAAAACTGGAAATTCAAGTCACTAGGTCTAGGCTGGATGCAATTTCTCTGACCTCAAACATGGCCAGGGAGGGGGTATCATTTGTATATTGGATGCATCATCATGGAAGAGGCAAGTTAAGAAAAACTCTCAGTCAAAAGTCAGGATGGTTAGGAAAGCTAATCAAAGAGAGAGAGCATCGGTCAGAGACAATGGGATCTTGGCTACAGCAAGAAGGCAAGAAAGCTAAGACCCTGCTCTGAACTTGAGTGTTGCTGCAATGATTATGATTGCAGAAAGGTTTTCTCCAGTCTAGGTGAGCCATGTTTGGATTCTCATTTACAGAGGAGCTTTAGCTTCCTCATCTACAAAATAGAATGAAGGAGAAGATCTGGCCACAGAATTGCTATGGAAATGGAGGACAATAATGTAAGTATCACTGAGTATACACTGTGGATCTCTTTTCTTCACCACCTGAAAATTAATTTTTTGCTTCTGCATTTTTTTTTTTTTTTTTTTTTGCTCTAGTGACCGAGACTTGGGAGAAGGTGACAAAGAGCATCACCTTGGGGGGGCAGACCTGGGAGGCTAACTATACTCTCTTTAGCTCCAATGAGGATTTCTTTGGCAGGAATTATCTGAAACATCATTGGTAAAGTGTAAGCATCTATTGATCTGTACACAATTTTTGCAATATGTGTGTATTTTGAGCCAAGCAAAGGTAATTTATCATAAAGAGAAAGATCTGAAGTAAAAATTGGAAACCTATAGAAACGACTTTCTTTAATGCAAGGGGTGGCTAATTTGATGAATTCCAGAACTATAAATTTTCCACAGTGTGAACTCAACAGGGGAGGACATATGTGCAGATGAAGACTTGCAGAGACATTTCCTCCTAATTGAAACGATGCATGAATTAAGAAATTTACATCTTGGATCAGATTTTTAATTGTAATCATTGTGTGCACTGTTAAAAGTAAATAATCAACTGTATAAAAATGACACTGGTAGATTATTTCATTCAATAATGCATTGTTCTTAAGCTGATATGGAACATTTACCAAGATAAGGAAAGTTCTGAACCATGAAATACATATTACATTTAAAAATAAGTTTAATGTAGTATCTTCCATCACCCATAATAGAACTAAACTAAAAATCAATAACAGAAAGACAACTGCAAAATCCAAAAAATGCATGAAAATTAAATAATATACTTTTAAATACACATGGATTGAAGAAGAAATCAAGAGAATTTAAAAATATTTGACTTACATGAACTTGAAAACACAGCTTATTAAAATTTGTAAGATGCAGCAAAAACAGAGCTTAGAGGGAAATTTATAGCATTCAGAGCATATATTAGAAATGAAGAAAGCTAGAAATCAATAATCTAAATTTCTCCTTATAAAACTAGAGAAAGGAGCAAATTAAATCCAAAGTTAGCAAAAGAAAAATGGACACAAATGATAATCAAAGAATACTATGAACAATTTCATACCAAAAACTTTGATAACTTAAACGAAAAGGACAAATTTCCTTGAAAGATACAAACTAAATAAGAAGAAACTGACAATCTGTATAAAACTATAATTATTAGAGAAATTAGAACTGTTACGAATAACCTTACAAAACAGAGAACACAGGTCCAGTTCAGTTCACTGGCTATTTCTACCAAAGAAAGAAAATATACATGATCATATTAATGAATGCAGAAAAAGCATTTGACAAAATCTAACATTCATGATAAAACCTCAGTAAACTAAGATTAGAGAGAAATTTCTTCAACTTCAATATCTCCGGTAAACTAACAAACATGAAACAAAGATCATATTTAATAGTGATGAGCTGGTAGATTTCCCATTAAGACCAAGAACAAGGTAAGTATATCCCTTCTCACCACTGGTTTTCAACATCGTACTAGAAGTCCTTGCTTATGCAATAACACAAGAAATGGACAGGAAAGCTATGTCAATTGGGAAGAACATAGCATGAAAGTTCAAAGTAATCAATAAAAAAAACTCCTAAAAATGATAAACAATAACAACATGATTATAGGATACAATTTTGATACACAAAAAACAATTTATCTATAGACAAAGAAACAATTGGAATGAAAATTTAAAAAGATAGTATCATTTATGTTAACACATCCAAAATGAAGTGTAAATCCGACAAAATATGTATAAGATCTATGAGGAAAATCACAAAACTTTCAGGAATGAAATCAAAGTTCTCAATAAATGGAGACATATTCCATGTTCACTAATAAGAAAACTTATTATTGTCAAGGAATAAGTTCTTCCCAACTGAACTATAGATTCAGTGAAATTTCAGTTAAGACTAACAAGTTATTTTGTGGGTCTCAGTAAACTGAGCTAAAGTTTAAATGGAAAGGTGAAAGACCCAGAATAGCCAACATAATATTAGAGAACAAACACTATCCAACTTCAAAAACTACTATAAAATTATAGAAATCAAGATAGTGTGGTTCTGGCAAAAGAATAGAAAAAAGTAGATCGACTGAATGGAATAGGCAGTTAAGTAATAAACCCACTAAATCTAATCAATGGATTTTTAAGGTGGTGGGAAGAACTCTGTATGATAATAAAATGATAGATATAGGGTCTCTCTGGTGGCGCAAGGGTTAAGACGCAACCTATGAAGCTAACTGCAGCCATTGCAGCATGAGTTTGATTCCCAGCCAAACAGGGAGCAACCACATGGCGCAGTAGACCTCTCCTGACTCGTCTGCTGCTCCCCTCAGCAGTGCACTTCAGTCAATCTGCCTGTTCTGTTCCCCACTCTGTCTCTGGTGAATCTTCTCACCCCCCACACCTCTGGCCTGTACCCAGCTCCTGTATGCATAAATAAATAAATCTTTAAAAAAAATAAAATGATATACAGTACACATTTTCTAAACCCATAGAATCTGCAACACCAAGTGTAACCTGAGATAAACTATGGACTTTGGGTGATAATGTGCCAGGTAGGGTCATTGATTGTAACAAATGTACAACTCAGACGAGGGACGTTAATAACAGGGAAGGTTATATAAGGGGCAAGAGGTGGATGGGAAATGTTTGTATCTCTACTTTCAATTTTACTATAAACCTAAAAAAAAACTTTTTAAAAAAGGAGGAAAAGTCTTTTGACTAAAAAGCTTCTGCACAATGAAAAAGACTATCGAAAACACAGACACCCTACTGAATGGGAGAAAATATTTGTACACCATACATCTGAGAAAAGGCTGATAGCCAAGATCTACAAAGACCTCATTCAACTCTAAAAAGAAAACAAATAACCCAATTTAAAAATGGGCAGAAGAGCTAAATAGGCACTTCTCCAAAGAAGACATACAGATGGCCAACAGGTACAAGAAAAAATGCTCATTTTCACTTATCATCAGGGAATTGCAAATCAAACTGAAACGAGATAGCATCTCACACCTGAGAAAATGGCCCATATCTAAAAGATCAGAACAAGTGTTGGCAATAATGTGGGGCAAAAGGAACCCTCATAAACTCTTGATGAGAATGTAGACTGGTCTAACCCCTAGAGAAAACAGCATCGAATTTTTGCAAAAGACTATAAATAGATCTACCACATGATCCAGAATTTTTCTTCTATGTATCTATCCAAAGAATGCAAAAACACTAATTTGAAGGGGTATGTGCACGTCTATGTTCATTGCGACAGTATTTACAGTACCTGAGTTGTGGAAACAACTTTAGTGACCAAGGATTGATGATTGGGTAAAGAATGTGGCATATATAAAGGTGGAATACTAGTTAGCTATCAAAAATAGATAAAATCTTGCTATTTGCAACAACATGGATGGAACTAGAGGCAATCATGCTTAGCAAAATAAGTAAGAAGGAGAAAGACAAGTACCAAATACCAGATGATTTCACTCATAAGTGGACTATGAAGAAACAAAGGAACTAATTAAACTAAACTAAAACAAACACTAGAAATCTGACTGCAGAATTGTGTCTACCAGAGGGGAAACAGGATTGGGGGAGGGTGTTATATGGACTATAATGGAGAATTATGGATGATTTGGTTGTGGGTGCTATGTTGTCATATGCATCTAAAGAGTGTGAGCCTGGACCCCTAAATGATATACAGTACTGTAAACCAATGTTACCTGAACAATCAAAACAATCAAAAAAAAGTGTTTTGAATAATGAATATTTAGCCCATTTATCACCTTTCTTATGCATGATTATAGATACTAAGTTTTTTGGATTATTATATGATCCACAATTTTCTCTGATTTGCCTAAACTTGGGGAAAACTTACAGATATTTTCAGGCCAACTTGTAAAATGACAATATGGCCTTAACTAATTAAAAACATTCCTTGAATTTCCAAAGTCTTCCAAAATGGAAAGGTCCTTAGAGAATAGAAAAAAAAAAAAATCTTAGAAGTGGTTTCAGCCTGTGAATATGTGTACCAGGATTTTAGGTAAATGCTGCATTATGTGAAAGGATCTGTTGCTAAGTCTTTAATATTCAGACACACAGAGAGACAAGCACAGTGTTTAGCACTTAGTAGGGATAAATAGTTCAGTAAATATGCATTGAACTATCAATAGTTAACTGTAAGGGTGTTGCTTTTAGGCAGAGTGCACACCCCGAAATTTGAAATGGCTTAAAATGAAATTGAGGGGGTGGAGCTAAATCAAAGCACTCCCTTGAAGGCTCATTTTCCATTTTGCCTTCCCAAGTGTCTCAGTAGATAAATACCAGCTGATTACAAATGAGGAGCGTGGCGCCCTGGATAAAGTTTGGAGGGCTGATTAATATGTCTCAGAAAGCCAAATCAAATATCACGTAAGTGGCTCCTGGAGAGAAAAAAAAATTCCCTGTCCAATTTTCCATGAGTTCCTCAGTTGATGTTGCCTCTCTAAGGCCTCGTCTGGATCCTGGGGTTTTTGTAGGCTGTTGCAGTTAAGACTTCCATACAGACGCTGCCATCCAAACTAAATCACACTTTCATAAAATAAGCAAACATTGCCAAACTCGGACTGCACAGCAGGCACATGCTGAAAACACATAAAGATGTGGCTCAGATCCCGAAGAGTTCACATTCTACTCGGAAAGATGAATCTGTGTGATGAGTATATGGTTGGGTGAGAGAGACTGAGAAGCTGAAATTGTTCAAATTTGGAATCAGATACTGTGATTTGATTCCCAACTCTGCTACTTAGAAGGTGAGTGTCCTTCAACAAGCTATTCAGTCCCTTTAAAGTCCCATTTTATTTGCTTCAAAAGGGTGGTGATGACACTTAGAGATGCTACATATAAAGCCCCAGACACAGGGGAGCCACTTGGTACGTGCTTTTCATATATTCTTGCCCGGGTGCGACGACCCAGGGATAGCTGTGTCTTATACATCTCAGTTCACTGCTTCTCCACTGTCACTGTGACCTTCAGAGTCACTAAATTCTGACATTTTTATTTCACCACTGAATTCTCCTGGCTTTCCAGGAAATTGGATGTGGAATGTTGAAGGAGTCTACAAACATTAGACCTTCTTAGGTGGTTTTCAGAAAAGAAAGGAAATTAGTTTCTCCCCCAACTCCCAATTTTTTAAATACGTGGACTTTAAATTAGCTGTCATCAGTCACTGCTGTCATCTCTGGCTGGGCTGGACTCGCTGATCTCACTTGACTGTGCATAAGAAAAGAGTGTTTCGTGGGCTAGCAACAACTGGAGCTCTATGCTGGTAGGAAAACAGGGCCAGATGAAAACAAAACATGGGGACAAAGGAAGTGTCAGTTCAAAACTCAAAATCAGAATCAAACCTTGACTAGATCAGATTTAAGCAAATCATTGTCTTCTGAGCCAGTATCATTTGGAGCTGGGCAGCAGGCAGACTCCTGGACCACCATGTCTATATCCTACTCCTGGAGACCTGTGAACATATTAGGTCACATGATAAAGGGAAATTAAATGAAGATGGAATTGGGTTACTAATAAACTAATCTCAAA